GTTCTTTTGGTGTATGCTTACAGAGGTGGCAATGCTCAAATTTCTATAAACCACTTTGGAAGGTTGCACACTTTAAAAAGTTGTATGCAAATGAGTAAAGTCCCAAACAAGCTCATGATTTGTGGTCTGGGTTACATAGATCGCCCTACAGGGATTGAATGGGGTGTGTGGGGAGGTCATCTATTTAACCTGACTACCTGGTTATCCCACCTGGATGAATCAGGGAGACAAATGAGACAAAAAGGCCCCTCCATTGGCTCAGCTGACCCCAACTGCCATTCAGTTTCTCATTGTCCATTCTAACTAGGTGCAGGGGTACCTCGGGTTACATACGCTTCAGGTTACAGACTCCGCCAACCCAGAAATAGTACCTCGGGTTAAGAACTTTGCTTCAGGATGAGAACAGAAATCATGCTCCAGCGGCGCAGCAACAGCGGGAGGCCCCATTAGCTATAGTGGTACTTCAGGTTAAGAACAGTTTCAGGTTAAGAACAGACCTCCGGATTGAATTAAGTACCTTACCTGAGGTACCACTGTACTCCCTTGTGGTTCAGTCCTTCCGCATCGTTCCACCCCATTGGCAGACCTTCCTTGGAGGTGCAGCTCCTCACCCCTCACTTTTGGCATCTACTTAAGATGTACCTTTTCGCCCAAACTTGGGGGGGGGCATTGTTGTGTTCAAGGCCAGAGACATGTGTGCTTGTGGGATTTTATTTCAGGCCGCAGGTAAAGTAAAATTGTGAAAAGTGGGGACAGGCTGGTTTCTCACAAACCAGCAAGAAGAATAATGCCTGCACATTTTGCCTCATATCTCAGCTTCTACAAATGCTAGAAACTTACTCTTGTTTCAGATGAAAGCTTGGAATCTAGAGATTATGGTTCCTCATGTCGGGTCGGGGACAACAACAACTGCCCCCCCATATACACCCATGGCTGTAGGTACCTATGTGTGCTGCTGTATTGACCTAAGGAGTTGGATGCTGTGGATTTTAATAGACATGTAGGGTTTTAATAATTTCGTTGTCATTTATTTGTTTAGTTATTTATCTTATTACATTTATATCACACCTTTTTCTCCAAGGAGTTCAAGGTGGGTTACACAGTCCGCCCGTCCCCATCTCATTTAATTCTCCAAATAACCCTGTTAGGCAGTTTAGTCTGAGAGGCAGTGATTTCGGCTTAAGTTCGCCCAGTGAGTTTCATGGCTGAGTGGGGATTTGAACCCTGGTTTCCCAGGTCCTAGTAGGACAGTCTAACCACTATACAGTCATACCTCGGGTTACAGATGCTTCAGGTTGGGTTTTTTTTGGGTTGCGGACTGCTGAAACCTGGAAGTACTGGAATGGGTTACTTCTGGGTTTCGGCGGTCGCACATGTGCAGAAGCGCTAAATTGTGCTTTGCGCATGCGCAGAAGCGCCGAATCACGACCCGTGTGTGCGCAGACGCACCGCTGTGGGTTGTGGAAGTGCATCCTGCACTGATCACGTTTGCAACCCGAGCGTCCACTGTACACTGTCAGAGCTACTTCTTTTGTCTGCTGCTATACTGATTTGAGGAGTTGCATGCTGGAGGTTTTGATAAATGCATAGTCTTCTAATGATTGCGACATCTTATACCAAATCTGATTGTTTTATCTAGTGCAAACCTTCCTGAGATATTAACTGATGAAGGACAGTTTAAGGGCTGCATTAAATAAGCAAAGACGACCTGAATTTCTTTTCCTCCCTCCTCTGCACCTCCCAATACATACCTGTCCTTTGGCTGCTTGTTCTATTCCCCAAAAGTACAAAAATCAGACAAAAAGGCAGGATGAAGTGCAGGGCATAAAGATCAAAGCCGCAAACAGACAGGGTGTGCATATGACCCGCCACATGCTTCCCTCGAAGCACCCTCCTCTCCCTTCCCCAGCAATGCCACAAATAGCAGCAGGGCAGGCGGAATGCTGCAGCCAGTCTCCTGGTGCCTGTCTATGTTTCTGAATCATGATGATATTATAGTCCAGGCCGGATCATGCACAGAGATTAAGCTAAACAATTTCAAATTGCAAAATGTAACAACATCGCTCTTTTACAAGAGCAGGGGAGGAATCCAGCTCCTGCAACTCGATAAGCCAAGGACTGGGATACATAACGAATAAGCAAAACACATAATTGTTTATTTGGGATATCTCATATTTGGGGTGGATGCAATATAATCCTTTGTAACCAGGTCTGTCTGTCTTTCTCTTACTCTCTCTCTCTCTCTCTCTCTCTGCATATCAGCGAGAGATTTCATTACAGATAAGTAGCACAGTACCCTTTTGATTCCAGCCCTTTTATACTTCCCACCTGCTTATCGGCTGCATACTAATTAAACCTCTACCACGTCTTATAACCACATTTAGCAACAGAATTTCTGGAAACCTCACATATAACCTGCTTAGTGCCCCCAAAGGAAGGTTTTATTCCCTTCCCCCTAATGAAATGAGTCCTGCTCTGCAGCCAGGTTCAAGGGTGCATCATAAGGATGTCACTGGTGGCCCCACAACCTCTCCCCACTCCACAGCCAGCCAGTTTACAACCAAACATTGCCTGGACAGCAGCAGTTAGATGGATGGGAGTTTCTTGGGTACATTGACTATTGCTCATGTTCCAAAACATCATCTCCCCCACCCCACAATGCACTGGAAACAGCCTCTAAGCCGGCATTTAACATAATGGAAGCCTCTCTCCCACCTTTTTTTGTAGACATCTGAATGAATTCTTTCTGACTTGACGATACAGAGGCAAAATAAGCAGAGCAGTTTGCTCCTCCGTGTGGCAAGATCACTTAAGTAAATCTATATGCTTTGTATGTACGAACAGGATTGGAAACGGAGGTTACATAAACCCACTGAGTCCCCACAGTTGCCTCAAAGTTGGCTGGGCACCTGGGAATGCTGCCAAGACCATTTGGCAGACCTTCCTTGACAGTTCCAGGAAAATATGGAATATTCAGAGACTCTTTCAAGGGGGCCTCCCAGTGATTCCAGTCACAATAGCCCCTCAAAACTAAGCTCTTGAAGTTTTTCCTTTAAATGCACACAGGATTATAAATAAAACTTTTTATCCTTTTTAAGGTTGGGGGGGGGAATCTTAGGTCACATCTATTTTAAGACAGAATGGTGGATCCAGAAAAGATCACATCATCTTGTATGCAAAAGGGGCTCCTTCATTACTGGTCCTTTACATTAGCCAGGATCCACGGAACCACGTGTCTGGCTCTACCAGCCAAAGTGCACTTTAAACTTATTATTATTATTATTATCATCATCATCAGCTCCTCTTCCTTCTGACAAAGAGCAAACTCCCTTTTAAATCAGAGGAAATTATCAAAAGCAGTTTGTGGTAAGCAAGGCTTTTTCCTCCAGCCAGAATTCAGTTCTGGCACCTCTCAGGTGGGTGCCATTGCCACAATAAGAGAACAAGTGGGGCATTCATGATGATTTCCGGCATTCCTCCCCCCCCCCCGAAAAATAGCACTGGTGGTACGTATGAGCAGGTCTCTCCTTCACTGTTAAAATGCCCACAGATTGCATGAGAAGTTTTCTGTAACTATTTGTATCTGAGTTGATTTGTTTTCTTTTGTTCTATTCCCTGGTAACTTTTGCTCTCTCTGTGTGTATTCCTGTATGTTATATTATTAGAATAATAGGGTTTGAAGGGACCTCAAAAGTCATTGGCCTCCTATTCAGTACAGGAAACTGACTACTGCAATGTAAGAACGCAAGAAGAGTTTGCTGGATCAAGCAAGTGGCCCATCCTTTTCTCACAGTGCCTGTGGGAAGCCTGCAAGCAAGACCTGATAGGTCCTTGATTTGACCTAGCACATCCTTGGTAGCCCCTGCTTTTAAAAGTGTACGGAGGGAGTGTCTACCACCTACTGCTGCAGTCTGCTCCACTGTCATAAGAACATAAGGAGAGCCCTGCTGGATCAGATTAAAGGTCTTATCAGTCTAGCATCCTGTTCTCACCCTGGCCGACCAGACATCTATGGAAAGCCCAGAAGCATAACATGAGCACCACAGCACTCCCCTCACCTGTGATCCCAGGCATTCCAATCTAAAATTCAGTTCTCCACATTACTGCAGCCATTTGCAAATTTCACTTCATTTTTTTTTAAAAAATCCTCATGAAAATTTGTCAATATTATAGTGCAATTCTCTCCTAATAAACAGATTTTCACATGCATTTTTTGACTAGCACACACTTTTTTTGCAAGCAATTTCTCCTCGTGTAATGTGTTTTTCTATGTTATGCTATCTTCTTTTTAATACCCACTATCCCCCTACATGGGACGCGGGTGGCGCTGTGGGTAAAACCTCAGCGCCTAGGACTTGCCGATCGCATGGTCAGTGGTTCGAATCCCTGCGGCAGGGTGAGCTCCTGTCGTTCGGTCCCAGCTCCTGCCCACCTAGCAGTTCGAAAGCACCCTTAAGTGCAAGTAGATAAATAGGTACCACTTTATAGCGGGAAGGTAAACGGCGTTTCCGTGTGCTGCTCTGGTGCCGGTCGCCGGAGCAGCTTTGTCACGCTGGCCATGTGACCCGGAAGTGTCTGCAGACAGCTCTGGCTCCTGGCCTCTAGAGTGAGATGAGCGCACAACCCTAGAGTCTGTCAAGACTGGCCCGTACGGGCAGAGGTACCTTTACCTTTACCTTATCCCCCTACATAGAGGGATGCGGGTGGCACTGTGGGTTAAACCACAGAGCCTAGGCCTTGCCAATCAGAAGGTCGGCGGCTCGAATCCCCACGACGGAGTGAGCTCCCGTTGCTTGGTCCCTGCTCCTGTCAACCTAGCAGTTCGAAAGCACGTCAAAGTGCAAGTAGATAAATAGGTACCGCTCTGGCGGGAAGGTAAACGGCGTTTCCGTGCGCTGCTCTGGTTCACCAGAAGCGGCTTAGTCATGCTGGCCACATGACCCGGAAGCTGTACGCCGGCTCCCTCGGCCAATAAAGCGAGATGAGCGCCACAACCCCAGAGTCAGTCACGACTGGACCTAATGGTCAGGGGTCCCTTTACCTTTACCTTTTATCCCCTACATACGCATTTTCTGGGGGAATGTTTAGCTGGAGGGTTGCACCACAAAATTCATGTGAGTGCAGATTTTGAAGGATGTACTTCAGTTATCATATTAGCTTTGAAAGTACAAACTTGATAGATTTGGCTCCAGAAATGAACTGAATTGAATTTCTCCTCCACCGTTTTCATTACACACAGCCACCATGGCCAGCTGCCACTGAGAGACTTGCCCTGTATGAATTTGTTTAATCTTCATTTAAAGTCATTCACATTGGAGGCTGACTGGCTTCACGCCATCAGAAAGGTCTTTCTCATGTTCAACTGAAATCCCTTTATTATAATTTGAACCTGTTGGGTTGTATTCTCTGGAGCAACAGAAAACAAAATTTCTCCACCATCTAAACTCAATAGATAAGTGACTGTTCTCCAAGCCTCCTTCAGTCTGTAAGATGAGGGTAATGATACTTGCATCATGGTATATGACAACTTAAAGTACAGTCTTATGCATGTCTATTCAGAATCAAGCCCCAATGAGCTCAATTGGACTTAGTGTATATAGGATTGCAGCCGGAGTATGAATTTGTGGCAGTGATTATTTGAACTTCTTAATTGGCTTGCAGGCAGCTAAGGCAGCTATTATATGACAACACTGGAGTGTGCTGGGATAGAATGACTTAAACTGCCCTTTTATAAATTATATAATCATGCTCCTGCCCGAGTTCAGTGCAAATTTCTCCTCATATGCACATATTTAATGCAATTTTACCTATTTTCACATGCAATTCCCCTCAACAGAATTCATTTTTTAAAAGTTATTTTTCACTAATATATGCATTTATGCACACTATCTCCCAGTATATGCACATTAATCGGTCAGGGAACGGCAACACAAAATTTGGAGAAGTGAAGATTTCAGAGGACATCTGTGTTTTGGTTCGCATATTATTTTGGGAAGTGCAAATTTAGGTATGTTGCCTTCAAGTCCAAACTGAGTCCACTTTCTCTCCTATCCTTAGGTCCAACTAGCTCAGGGCACTGATGGGCAACAGTTTTCCAGAGTTTCAGACAAGAGTCTTTCCAAGCCCTACCTGGAGATGTTGGAACTTGGAGTTCTACAACATCTGGAGTAGCCCAAGCATCTGGAGTAGCCCAAGCCAGCTAACAGGGAGGGGGTTGTAGAAGAAAGATGATGGCTTTCCAATGGTTATACAGGAGTTTCATAGCTCAGCTGAGTTTTGTGCTGGGGACAGTGTCACTCAGTTTTTGAGGGCTCCTGGAGAAGATATCCTCCACGCACCACACTCTCAGTGAGTCTACCTCCATAATGCAGCAGGTTCAGGAACCTTTTGTCAGGAGGCCCTTGCTGAGCTATGGACCATCCAAAAATGCCCACCACCATCCCTGACCATAACATTCAAGCAGCTCTCACTGGAGGATCGCACAAGTTACCTGTGGTGCTTTCAGATACACATCACCCCATTAAGAAATGGGGAAGTAACGAAACCCAGCCTTGAAGCGTTTCTGCAATGCGACAAGTTTGCAAATGTTTTGTGTGCCACAGAGACATCTTAGAGGCAACAAGGCCTCTTCCACTCGGAGTGAATGAAGTAGCCAGCCTCAAATTTCCTATTGAGAAGAGAACAACAACAACAACAACAAAATCTGGTAAATAGTTAGGCAGTTTAAAAAGTGACAGAGGACCAAGTATTTTTGTGTTGGAATGAAATGTAGGTTGTAAGACATTAATTATTCTATAAGAAGACAATTAAAAGACTTTATATTCTGCAATTTTTGTATTGTAGCCAGGCACAGGGAATTAACTGTGCATTGCTCCCTAATGACAATCCAGCCTCCCGGCTTTCCCCTAGCTTTCTTCATAAGAACATAAGGAGAACCTGCTGGATCAGGTCGGTGGCTCATTCAGTTTAGCATCCTGTTCTCACAGTGGCCAACCAAATGCCCCAGTGGGAAGTCAGCAAGCATGAGCTGAGCGCAACAGCACTCTTCCCACTTGTAGGTTGCAGCAACTGGTATTCAGAGCTTTACTGTCTTCAACAGTGGAAGTAGAACATAGCCATTTAATAAATGGGACTAATCTAAATCCCATTGGTTTCCATAAGAACTATGTGCAACTATGTTTGGAGTCAAGATCATCAAATAGTATCATCACTATACATGACACAGAGATGCTTAATGGACCAGGCTGGGCACCCATGAACTTTCAGCCTAAATGATTATGATGGTTACAATGTAAGGAAGGCAACAGCCCAGGGTAACAGGGAGAATAATGCACACACATACATCTGTTTGGAGCTGGAGCAGATTCCTGGCACTGAGGCTGATGCTATGGACCAGGACCCCACTACATGTGAGTCTTGCAGGTAGGAGGTCACTGAACTGGATCTCAGAACACCAGAGTCTGCATAAGTAGAGCTGGGACCCTCATGGACGCTTTCGCTTGTGCCTGAGGAATCAAGAGCTTCACCCTTCCTTCAGGGCAGGGAGCACACCAAGTGAGAGTCTGTGGATCAAAGAAGTGCCTGCTCTTCCTGCTACAGTGTTTGCCCTTTAAGATAAGTAGTTCTCCAACAAAGCAGGTGGAGCCTAGGAGAGGTGAACAGGGAGGCAGGGGCTCAAAAGGCTTCAATTCACCTCCAGCTCTTGTTGGAGCAAGCTGCTTACTTGGAGCTCTCCTTGGTGCTGGGACAACCAATATGCCTTGCCCCACTGTGCCCTATGGACTCTTCCTTGGGACTAAACAGGAAAACTATACAGACTGAGAGGTTTAGAAAGTGGTTTTTGAAGAGGAACTTGATGCTGTGGTCCTACACAGGTGTCCCAGGAGGGATTTCCTTTCTTGGGAGGCAGTGATAAAGAATGTGTGGGACCATTTAAGGGAGGTAAGATACTTGCAGGGAGTCCAGGGGTGGGTGGCTATAGAGTTGCTGGAAGATAGTGGGAAATATGGTTAAAGTGGAATGAAGTAGATGGCATTTGAGATCCCCTTCAGCTCTGATTTCAAGGCACAGATAATTTACTAAGCATTTCTAGTCATCCAAGCACCAGTTATATCAAAAGTGGAAAATCTCAGGGCAAAGGTTTTGGGAGACATCCCCTACCTCTCCCATTTCCCATCAATATGGAATCAGGATCTCAATCTACCCAAGCAGTAGAAGATCTGTCAAGGACTTGGAAAACTTTGGCCTTAAGAAACCTAGTTCTTTCCACTGGAGGAAAGTGAAATCTGAAAAGGGAAGCTGTGGTGCTTGAAAACCCACACAGACCATTTATTGAAAAATGTGTGTGCCCTCCAATGCCACAGCTGTTATTCCTGTCAGAGTCATGAAAGAGACGGGACAATTTAATCCAACCAAAATCTTTAAATATTTGTGTGCGTATACACACAACATATAAAGAAACAGCTTTGGGGCAATTCCTCCAGAGTCAATGAAATTATATAAAATGTCTTAAAGCCACTGAATGGAAATTCTTTTGTTGACGTGGATAGATTTTGGTTATAGCCATAAAAAGGAACCAAAAAGAGCATGTTTGTGGAATCATAGCCTTCTTTTTCTCCCACCATTCTTTTGTGTTTATCATTTCTGAAATGATTGCAACTCCCCAAATTGTCTCAAGGGCCCCTCAAAAGATTCACAAAGTCTATAAAAAGACTCCAGTTGATTAGAGTGGACTGTGTGGTTGGTTATTTCATGGATGAAGACTACAGAGAAAATCGCGGACAGAGACTGAAACCAGAAAGGAGAGTCCCCACCTTAACATTTCAATGCAAACTGGAAACTGAGCCCCTAAGTTAAATGGAGGAAAGGATGGTCTGGCAGCATTGCAGGGAGGGGGAAAAAATGCCCGCTATTGTCCTGTTCAAAACAAGCCACTCAGCCAAGGTCAAGGTGCTTATAGAGATAAGGAAGAAAGGGAAAGGGAAGTAAGTTGAATGAGGAATAGGAAAGGAGAAATAGACAGAAGCAAAGAAAGGATTTGAAAGGGTTCTAAGTTTTGAGGGAGCCAATACTCCAGTTCTGCTTGGGATGTGGGTATGGGTAGCCATGTGTCCTATTTTACAGAGGATGATCCTCTATTTGAACAGCTGCCAAGTACAGTCCTCAGTTTGAGTGGTTGTCTTGTACCAGCTGGGTTTAAAAATAATGAATCATAAGAAGAGAGAGCAGCAGGGACATTGTAGACTCCCATCCACAGTTTGTAGGGATGAACTGAGTAGTTGACTTCCATCCCATTTCACTGGTACCTAATCATAGGTCTGTTAGGTCTTTTTGAAAGAACATGCAAAAAGTCTGTGTCTAATTTGTACACATTTTGTACACAGTCATTATGTAAAATACACATTTTCCCCCAATGCATTATTCTCCTATGTGTGCATTTGTAGGCATTTTAAAAAGTAAGAGATGTATTTTTGTGTACATACATGTTTCCTCATTGCAAAACCCAGGATGATGAGTGCAATTTGACAGGGAGTTGCATCCTGCTTCAGGAATGTTGGGCCAGGTGGTCTGCTGTGTGAGATGTGGATCAAATGATTTTTTCCTCCATCCCTATTAGAAGCACCCAGACTGAACACAGCTCACCTGGTCACAGTCTTCCCCACTATGGCAAGATGTATTACATTTCTATGTAAGTTATAGTAATATTTCTAAATCTACATCAATACACATAAATCAGCACATGCAAATATTATGCAAACCTGTGTCCTCTTCTGACCTTTCTTGGGGTGATGCAATGGTGGGCCACCCTTATCAGCAATCCTGCCCCCTCCTTCTGATCCTTTATTATTCCATGAATTTGCTCTGAATTCTGCTTTCTTTGAATTCTGGCTGCCCTCTATAGATGTAAAAAACCAATTGTCTCTTTCTTCAGGTTGTGTTTTCTACAGATCAGCTACACTTGCTGTGAGACATTGGTGTTATATGCAGTATAGGATTGGGAAGAAAAGAGGGGTGGGTGGGAGAGAGGGGGTGAGTGGTAAAGCTTATGTTCTTTTACTCAGCGTATGTGTGGGGTTTTTGTGTCAGCATCCCTTGAGTAGGTTCCCTTTCAAGTCACTTGTTATGTATCCTTGGTGGTGAGAGAGGTTGGTGTGGTCTAGGGTGTGGTTGATTGTCTTTGGTTGGCTGCAGTGGGATTTGTTTGTTTGGTTGGGGGGGTGTATTGTTAGGTTAAGTTAGCCATATTGATGGTGCTGGAGGAGACTCTTGAGAGTCCCATGGACTGCAAGAAGATCAAACCTATCCATTCTGAAGGAAATCAGACCTGAGTGCTCAGTGGAAGGACAGATCCTGAAGCTGAGGCTCCAATACTTTGGCCACCTCCTGAGAAGAGAAGACTCCCTGGAAAAGACCCTGATGTTGGGAAAGATGGAGGGCACAAGGAGAAGGGGACGGCAGAGGACGAGATGGTTGGATAGTGTTCTCGAAGCTACCAGCATGAGTTTGACCAAACTGCGGGAGGCAGTGGAAGACAGAAGTGCCTGGCGTGCTCTGGTCCATGGGGTCACAAAGAGTCGGACACGACTAAACGACTAAACAACAACATCAACAACAGCCATATTGAATTGTATGCTGTTGGTGGGTTCGGTTTGCTGTCTTGTTGGGCTGTGTATGTGATAAAGGGGAGCCATAAAAAGCAATCTTGGTTTGATTGCACATGCAATTGCATCCAGATTCGTTTGCTCAAACCAAGATTGCTTTTTACGATGGAGAAATTTCTAAAACAACAATGGGATATCGGCTCCACCCAAGGCATGACAGATAACAGCAACAATTGGGGGAAAGAAAGACATAACATTTTACAAGGACAGGAAGAAGCACCATGGACAGAATAATTGCCACACACAGAAAGAACAAGGATATAGTTTGAGCTCCTCACTTGAAGTTTTTATAAATCACTTAATACGTCAACACGGATAGAAGTTATTGCAGTTGTTGTATAAGGGATTATGGTGATGACTGGAATGTAATTGAAACTAAGGTTTTTGGAATTTAGGGATAAAGAAAATCATCAAATCTAGCCACTTTAACTAAATTATATAATTCGGTATTTGAATTATTGGTATTAATAATTGTATTATAAATTGGTATTGTTATAATGAGGCTATTATTGGACTGTAATTGAAAACTAATAAAACTTTTTATACAAGATTGCTTTTTATGGTGGGTGGGTGTTTTGAAATTGATGCACACATGTGCTTTTTTATTCAAAGGGGGAAGGACAGCTCCAAAGGGTAGTGAGACAAACAAGTGCTAACCCCAAATGTTTCCTGATAATGCAATCACTCTTAGCTTTCAGAATGCTGTTCTGAACTTTTGGACCAGTTTATTTTCTTTTTTAATCAATCCTGGAGAGATCAGAAGATCAGAAATTAAGATAGGGCTGAAATTTGTTTTGGTTGCTCACATTTTAATGCAATTTGACTTCTTGAAACAATACATGAACTAAAGCACAGCTGACCTTTAAAATTCATAGAATTTTGCAAGAGAGTTCTCAAACCGATTAAAGTTTACAAAAATGCATAGTTCAGGGGAAGCTGTGCTAAAACTTTATGTATTAAGGAAAATAATACACAAAAATGCAGTACATTGGGGAAACTGCATGAAAAAACTCATGTATTAGATAAACCTGCATATACAAATGTGTATAATGGATAGCATTTGTACTAAAATGCTGACAAATTTTCTTGAGGACGTGCAGAATGTAGTGAACAATGGGGAAACTGAGGATCTCCACCCCTGCTCTAGAACCTCGGGTCTATGAAAACCACCCCTTGCAGAAATAGAGAGATACAGATACACTGGTCCATAATGGGTTTGTTGTTGGCATCTGTCTCGAGAGAGAATGGTTAACATTTTGGTATTTCCTTCATCATACTCCAAGGGAAAAGCTTAAACTTTTCCAAGTGAAACTCTCTATTTTAACAAGACCATTTGACCCTTAAAAAAAAAATGCTCAGTTGTCCATCATCCAAAGGCTGAATGACAATGATTTGGAGCCTCATCATATCACCCAGTCATTTTTAGCAGCTTTTGTTCTGTTAGTTGGTGGGACCCAAATAGCACCAGTCAAGAATCTCTTTAGCCAGCCAATTTTGCCGATGGGAACCAGGTTCAGGTTCCATGACAGTTTTTTAAAAGAAATGGTCCATTGTCTCCCAATGACTATGATACTCATTGTTAGACCTGACACCTAGGCACCGCTGTTAATTATAAACTGCTCCATTGTGACTCTCAGCTCAAAAGACGTAATGAAACCCTATGAGCTTTAGGTGTTCTCTAACTGGAGCAAAAACAAGTTCTGAAGCCTTCATCAAGATGTGATGAACAAAGGCTCAGATACTGCACAGTGGTCTTGTTTCCTCTCTGGGAAAAGACTGGCTATGGAGGCACACAGATACCACCTTGTCATCAACTTGTCCACTCTTTGCTAGCAGGTCAAACATATAAACATGTATTTTAAACAACTTCTTTAAAAATTAATTAAAAATTAAAGCTTTCCTGTCACTTGAAAATTTATTTCCCACCCTTTCTTTATGGGGCACCTGTTATGACAAAACCTTTGCAAATCCCAGATTTCAACCAGTCGTCCTCCAAACTTGGGCTCTCCAGATATTTCTTGTTATTAACTCCCATCATTCCTGGTCATTGGCTATGCTGGCTGGCGGTGTGTGTGTGTGTGTGTGTGTGTCAAATAGCCTCACACAGGGTGGCATATTACCAAGGTCTGCCTATGATCCAACAGAGTCCGGAGAGCACCAGGGTGGTAGTCTAAATGACTTAGTAGTGGTGTTCAAGTAGTTCCCCATACAGTGAGGCTGTTCAGATATAACAAGTTTAGTCCAGAAACAATGGTGTATCAGCCTAAGAATAAGACAGATACATGGTTAATCAGACCAAGAATGAGTCTTGAGCCTGCATGCTACCTTTTGCTTCTCTCCTTGCATACTCAGCTTTGCTGGCCTGGATTTCAAACTGGGAAACTGGCTAGAAGTACTGTTTACAGACTAGGATACAAAAACAGGTTCAGATGCATACCTTCATTGGTTTATCCCCACAACAAACCTGTGAGGTAGGTTTAGGATGAGAGATATCCATGGCTAACCCAGTGAGTTTCATGAGATTTGAAGCTGGATCTCCCTGCCCCTAGTCTATGGATGGGGAAATCTGTGTCCCTCCTGATTATGTTGGACTACAGCTACAATCATTCCTGACTCTGGGTCATGCTGGTTGGTGCTGATGGGAGCTGGAGTCCAACAACATCTGGAAAGCCACCAGTTCCCTGTCATCTACTTGAATATTCCAATCACTACTACACACCGTCTATCATGGGATGACCTTTGAGTTCCTCTACCAAGCCACCAATGCCTATAGCTTGTGATGCAGCCACCTTGATGAAGCTAAGCTACTTTGGGTCTCTTCAGTGCCCGGAATGGAAATGGTCTGGGAACCCCATGAATACTACCTTGCTCCATGATGGAGGAAATATAGTATGAAAATGCAACAAATAAAGCTTTTGGTTTATTTCTCCTACTGTGGGCCTATGAGCTCCATTCCAGTGGTTGCAAAAAGGTTGCGGAACTAATGAGAACATCTGCAATTGGCTCGGCACTGGAGTTATTGTTTTTGAGGCCACTTTGACCAGAACTAGATTGACTTAATAAGCTAACAAGGGCCTGGCTAAGGTTTGTGGTTTTCATAAGATGGAGCTGGTGCAGTCTACTAATTCCACCACCCCCATTACCAATGAAATGGGACCTTCTTCACAGCCTGGCCTGTGATTTTGGTGGTGGTTTTGACCATGTTGACGCTTATGTGGTCCAGCAAGACTCCTAGCAATTTCCAATCAGTCTGTGGAAAAGTGTGAGAACTGCTGCCAATTTAAGTGTTCCCTTTCTTTGCTCACAGTCAACCACAGCCTTTTCTGCATGTCTTTTTGTTGTTTAGCTTTCAACTTATGATACCAAAACCAAAGATCTCTTGCCATATCTTGTAGAGGATGGTGGACACAAGAAATGGGCAACCTGTGGCCTTCTAAATATTGCTGGACTCCAGCTCCCATGAGTCCCAGCCAGCATGGCCAATGGCCAAGTGTTATGGGAGCTATAGTTTAACAACAACTGAAGGAAGACAGGTTCATCCTCCCTTCTACTGAACTATAACGGAAACATGCATTTCTCTTAACCCACCATGAGCAAGTTTAAGTGGCACCCTTTGTTTTTGAAGTAGCTTTTTAAAAACACATGTATGAGAAAAATTCCTAGAACTTCAGTGGAAACACTCCAAATGCTTTTTATACCTTTGATAGAAGTAAATCCATTATTCAGCTTACGGGCCTCACTGTATACTAGGAAACCAATTCTAGAAGTTGGAATCCTTGACATTCAAGGGGAGAAACAAAAACACAAATCAATGCTGGAGGAGTGGGACCAAAGTTAGCATTTCCTGTGAGATGTGTGCCTGGGGAAAATAATATGACATTTGCAACAGACTCAGAGGAACATTTATTTGTAATCTGCAAAGACGCAAATCTTACTGGGTTTAATAGGCAGGTTAGTAGGGAGACTTAGAATGCAATCCTATGCATGTCTAAATCAGGAATAAGCCCCATGGAGCTAAATGGGGCTTACTCTCTAGTAAGTGGATATGGAGAAATCACCTTTTCAAATGTGTTTACTAGAGCAGGACTTGGTTTAGATACAATGTATATGTATGTGGGGTAATGTAAAAGGTTAGATTTGAAATACGAAGTATCCACTGGTGACTGATTACCTCCTTTAATAAGGCTGACATGGGAAAAACTGAGTTCTTTTAAATGCTCGTTATCTGAAATCTCACTTTTCTGAACACAATGAATTATATTATTATTATTATTATTATTATTATTATTATTATTATTATTATTAATTGAATTTATCTATCGCCCTATACCTGGAGGTCTCAGGGTGGTTCACAGAATAAAATCAAAATATAAAACCACAAAATACATAATCAGAATAAAAACAACAACCCAATAACCCCCCCCCAAAAAAAACCCTCACTACACAAACCTTATACCCAAACCTCACTACACAAATGACTGGTTCAGATATCCAAACAGCTGGAGTTTGCCCACTTCCTTAACTGTTTGTGTTTCACTGATTTACAGCAGCCTTTTGGGGCAGAAACCCTGGAAGGAGAAAAATCTATTAGACAAACCAGGGAGCAGGAGAGATGGGACAAAACAGTCCCCGCCCCACTTTGTTTGGCTTTTGCTAATTAGCTGCAGCAATTTCAGGTAGGAAGCATGGAGGGAGAAAGCATGGATTAGAAATGTTCCCATAGGAAATGATGGAAACCATCAGCTCGTTATGTGAACGCTCGCTTAACAAATGATTTCCTGGGAATGCATTGCATTCAGAAAGTGAAACTTGCGTGTTCTAAGATAAAATTGCACTTCTGGTTGGCTCATTAGGTAGAAATTCTTGGTCACTCATTGGACAGGGAAGTGGTCTGATGAGAGGAAGAATTTTCTTCTACTCAGTTCTGGTGGGTTGGAGGATAAGCTAGCTAGAACATTAAATGGGCCTTTTTACTACTGGAGGAGAGAGGCGAAGACAAGGATGAAGACAGAGCGTGAGTGTGGCTAAAGATCTGAGGGAGAAGGCCAAAGGGTAGAGCCCAGTTGAGGAGTGTAAGCCAACAACCCAAGGCAGGCAGGGCACAGAGGGAGCCCACTGCAGCTCAACTCACAAAGTGGCATGGGGGCATACTCATGAGCAAGGAGAAGGGTGGGGAAGCTGTCGCTGACTCTCCTCCTGCTCTTCACCCTTGGGTCAGACCCGCCCCAGGAATGGAGCTGTGGCCAGGCATGAGTGCCGCAGCTTAGGAGAGTGGGCGGCAGCGTTACTGACCACTTTCCTTTCTCTGCAAAGATATTAAAATTTGGGGGGGGACCACTCATATCCTGAAGATTAAATCAATTTTTGGGGGTATTTTCACCTCACACCCCCAAATCCAAGAAAAATTCTGGGCCTAATTCTTAAACCCAGGACTCCCTTAATTGCTCACTGCGGCAGGGAGTGCTAATGTACCAACACCACCTATGATAGCCCATGTCAGCAAATCTACTTCTTTTGTCAATAACAATGTGGTGAATGCCCAAACTGGAGTAGGAATTCAGGCCCTGAATTCATGGATTCCACTCTCTACCAGCTCCATCTGTACACAGGCTGAGACCCTACCTGCCTGCGGACTGTCTCGCCAGAGTGGTGCATGCTCTAGTTATCTCCCGCTTGGACTACTGCAACGCGCTCAATGTGGGTCTACCTTTGAAGGTGACCCTGAAACTACAACTAATCCAGAATGCAGCAGCCAGACTGGAGACTGGGAACATCTGCAGAGACCATATAGCACCAGTCTTGAAAGACCTACATTTGCTTCCAGTACATTTCTGAGTTCAAAGTGTTGGTGATGACCTTTAGAGCCCTAAATGGCCTCAGCCCAGTATACCTGAAGGAGTGTCTCCACCCCCATCATTCTGCCCGGACACTGAGGTCCAGCGCCAAAGGCCTTCTGGCAGTTCCATCACTGAAAGAAGTGAAGTTACAGGGAACCAGGCAGAGGGCTTTCTTGGTAGTGGCACCCGCCATGTGGAATGCCCTCCCATCATATGTCAAAGAGATAAACAACTATCTGATGTTTAGAAGACATCTGAAGGCAGCCCTGTTTAGGGAAGTTTTTAATGACTGGTGTTTTAATGTATTTTTAATCTTTTGCTAGATCCTGAAGCTGAGGCTCCAATACTTTGGCCACCTCAGGAGAAGAGAAGACTCCCTGGAAAAGACCCTGATGTTGGGAAAGATGGAGGGCACAAGGAGAAGGGGACGACAGAGGACGAGATGGTTGGACAGTGTTTTCGAACCTACCAACATGAGTTTGACCAAACTGCGGGAGGCAGCGGAAGACAGGTGTGCCTGGTGTGCTCTGGTCCATGGAGTCACAAAGAGTTGGACACGGCTAAATGACTAAACAACAACAAACAAACAAACAAACAAACAAACAAGCACCAAATCTTTTGATGGAAGCCACCCACAGTGGCTGGGGAAACTCAGCCAGATAGGCAGCGAATAAATAATAAATTATTATTATAATAATTATAATTACATTACTCTCCTTTGATTGATCCCAAAATAAACAAGCACAATCGACCAGGAATATTGTTCATAGATGTACTTCAAAGTTACCCACTTGTCAATCAATGCAAGGATGGAGGGCAAGATTCCAACTTCCCTGATAGCATACTCTGGAGTCCCTCCCCTTCTGGTATCCCATAATACACTTCATGCAACTTACCAGTGTCAGTGGGCGATGCTGGGAAGCCTCCTGCCTCATAGGCCTTGGATGCAAAACCCCTTTTGGCTTAGCACACCTTGTCTTTTTAAAAACATCCCCTGAAGAAGAAGAAAATGTCAGCCACAACTCATCCATTGCATTTAATTTAATATTACATTTCAGCTACTATGGAATGAACTGGAGTTCTCTTGTTCAGATTTTCACAGCTGCAAACGGGTTTTATTGAAATATCATGAACCTCTGCATCATTGGTGTATTAACATGCTGTTGGAACACCAGGGCATGCAGTTGCTGCATCACAGTTACATACCTCGTTTCTCTGATCCTATCTACCTTCCACCCTTTACAGCAGACCAGAAACCTTGCTTTTTAGAGCGATGCATTTCTGAACTTTCTGAATTTTATTTTCTTCTGCCACTCATTCCAGAGCAATGCTCATTTTGGCTTTGCAAAATAAACTAAGAATCTAGGACTGATGGACTTTCCCTTCGTTTTCATTAAAACAAACATTAAAAACATTAAAGCAAATTAACAAGGAAAAGTCGAAGGTATCTTGCAATGCACTGTAGTAATAGGCAAGTAAAAGGAAAACGGAGAAATCTCAAAACAGGCATTATTTAGACCCAGCACTATCCAAGGTGTGAGACAAAGTGAGAAATCTGTCCATATCTTGACACATTACCTTTCCACCTGTTCCTTTCTCCTTTTGCTCCATCGCTCAAGGGCTGAAAGGTACAAAATAGCTGTTCCTGTGCCCACTGCAAAAGGTCCACGTTTGCTTGCAAAACTGCCACATTCTCCAGGAAGTCTAATTAATGTGATGGAAGCCATATGATGGAAAACTAATTAGTGACAAGACATATGGAAAACATACGACAGAAGGATATATGGAGGACATATGACAGAAGGGCACTCAAGGACATATTAGGAATGCCATAATTAATCAACAGTCCAATATGAATGCTCTTTTCCAGAATTGCCAAACGGCTACCTTTCATGTTAATTTCAGTCCTGGAATGCTCATGGGTTCCAGTTAGTAAGCGGGAGGTTCTCTCTGAAGCAGGCAGCATTCTATACAATGGATGGGGAACTCAAAGCACTGCTGTTCAGTCAAAGCTCTCACCATCCTTGGCCATTGGCCATGCTGGCTGGGGCAGATGGGAGCTGAAGGACAACAGCACCCAGAGGGGACCTGGTTTACCATCCTGTTCTGCGTTTCCTATGATTTGATCAAGTTTACAAAGTTAAGGAACATTTCCCAGAGATGAACAAAGGGGGGGGGTTGTTTTCCACTAACCTGTATTTAATACAGCAATATATCTGCAAAAAAATGATTTATTTATTTTTTACTGTTCCAAGGATAGAAAAGGACAATACAGAGATAACAGAACTTTCAGGTGGGTGTAGTTTAGTGGATCCTGGGTAATTTCCCTTCTGCCTTCAATCATAATTACCGGTAAAAGTTTGAAATGGGGAAGAGCCTCTTACCATGTTTTAAGTCCAGTGCCAGTTACTGTGAACTGGCCACAAATATTTTAGACCCAATCAAAATGGGTTCACCAGCGCCATCTTTAATAGGAGTATGAATTCCCAAGGCCAAGTGATTTTGCAGTCCTTATATCTAGATTCCTTTTGAAGGCATAAATGAGACAAAGCACTTTGCTGTTGGCAACAGATTTCAATGAAACATAAGGACAGTCTCTCACCACATTCTTAAAAAAACCTGACACAATTATAGAAAGGAGGGGGAAACTGGTCCTCCAGATGTTGTTGGACTCCGAGTCTACTCATTCATGGTTATTGGTCATGCTTGCTGGGGCTAATGGGAGTCCAATAAGAATATCTGGAGGGGCACAGATTCTCCAGCCCTTGATCAGAGGATGCACCCAGAGGGAAACCAATATGCTCCCTACCAGATGATGCAGTGCAAACAACTCATGGTCATCTGATGCAGTTCTATGTTAGTCCCACTGACAGGAGGGTGGACTGAGCCAATGAAATTGAGGCACTGGGTACAATTGAACTGCGTAAATGAGTAGTACTGGAATTTTCCCTTGAACTCAAGAATTCAGATGACATGGCTGAAACCAGAACAAGCACCACTGAACCCTGCATGGTACACCCACTCTTGTGTAGACTTAGTCCAGTCTTTTTCCAACCTGCTTCCCTCTGGATGGTTTGGACCACAGTGACCATAATTCCTAACCTTTGGCTGTGCTGGATTGGGCTGATGGGAGCTGTAGTTCAAAAGAGATGGCTGAGGAATGGTCTGGGACTGTCAGTTTCATACAGCCCTGGCATAGAGCTAATCAGGTCAGATCATCCCATATTAGGACGAAGCATGCAGTACAGCCCCCAGGGTTTTTCAGTTTTATGATTCAGGTGAATTCAGATTCGCCATGGCTGATTCACATCAAAAATGCCCTGCATGTAGAAAGCTAACAAAGCTGAGAGAAGTTTTAACCAAGCTTGCCCTTGGGTATCTTGTTTTCTACTGGAAATGGGAGTAGGGAGATATATGTATATATACCGTGATGCATTCAATACAAAAAGGGTAAGCACATTATCCCCTCTCAGTGCCTCATAACTGCATAAGATATTCACCAAATTGTCCTTAGAGTCCTTTGGTTGTGAGAAATTAAAGGAGTGGGCAGAGAAGCAAGCCAAATATATGCTCACAAAACAGAACCTGATGGAGTAATGCAAGACACCAAAGCTCCTAAGCAAATTCCAGGCTGCAGCCACAACCGAAAAAGTCAATTATGTGACCAAGGTGCTTTCTTGAATGTGCAGCTTTTAAGCTGGCCAGAGTCTAAGAAATTGGGTCCATTTCCTGGTGGGACAGGGTTGCGGTTGGGCCGCCTAGCTGCCCACCTTAGTGTGGGAGCAGGACAGCATCCTGCGTTACGCTGGGAGAGACCCTGGCCATGTCAGGTTGTTAGGGGGCCAATCAGGCCACTTGGGGGCATAGACCCATTAATAAACCTAAGTTAGATCAATTAACTTAAATGGGCATACACTGAATAGAGCTTAGTTGGCTATGACCATCTGTCTCCAAACATCAGCCCAAAACTGACCCTGTGTCTATTGTTCTCCTATGCCCAGGATAACATCACCTTCAGTCAGGTGGGGAGGAAAGTCCTGTCCTTTTCCTCTGGAAGCATCATTCACTTGTAGTTTCTATGGCAACACACCAGTTCTTGGCCAACTCTTTAGTCATGCAGAGAGATGCTTTACAGACAGGGCTAGGAGCATTAACGTCACAAGGTTTGACCACTTTGGCCGTCCCTTCTACTACAGAATCCAATCCTAAAGAATCCCATCCATAGGTGTGGAGGGGACCCAAAGGTGATGTCTAGACATCACCACCCCATTCCATAAACAGCCTGCAACTTTGTAGCCCAACCACAAAGCTGATTTGTCTTTGGGGTGTGGTGCATGCCAGGGAAGGGAGACTTCATTGACTTAAAAAAAGATTCACAAAACACACCTTACCTGTTGTTTCTCAATTTGACCGTGGACAGCAAAACATTCTCGAAGGTTTATAGCCTTTTCACCATGCTCGCTGTTTTGTGCAAGACCCAGGGAAAGCTAGGAGGTTGTACAGTTATCTCCCTTGGTGTAATTCTAAACCATACAACCTACTACCTCAACCCGGATACATGCAAGAAGTCAAATATGTTGGGAGGGTCAAAATCCCTGCCCCAATAATGTCCCAGCACGTACTTGCCAGGGTAGGCCAATAACGTGAGTGACCAGCACAGCAGCAGAAGTTGGGAACGTGCTGGATAAATGAAATAAACAAGTTCACAGCGGGAGCACCACCACCTACCAGATAAACAAAGAGCAAGCAGGAAATATGGTGCCAGAAGAGACAACCAAGACGAAAAAGACCAGTAAAAGAAGTTGGCAATCCCACATAGGAAGAGGTGACCACACACACAGGCACAAGCTAGGATCAAACTGAGGTGCATTAGTTTGGCAAAAAAAAGGGGGGGTGAATTAGAAGTTGCAGCATCAGAAGCAACAACAAAAGTCCTGTGTGGGATGCTGTGGCACAAAAAGGTCAACATCATTCTTAGCCTAGAATGGAGTGGGTGGGGTGCATACACCTTATTTAAAAGAACTACAGTACATCTGGCCAGCACATTTCAAGGAGGGTATTGATAGACTGCAAATGTTTTGGCGAAGAAAAGCAAGCATGTTGTAGCATCGTGTGGCCCAGCCACATCACAGTATCACCATCCAATCAGAATTAGCTAATGGCCTTTAGCTCAGACACCACTCAGGGATGTGATGATGATGATGCAGGTGGATCTGATCCTCCCATAGAATGGATCTCGCAGCTCATCTGGAACTCCCTGATAGAAGATAGGGCTTTCGGTGCTGATCAACTGATGGCCATGGGGAAGTCTGCAGCAACTAGTATTCAAACTGCTTGCAAACGGACTTCAAAGGGGATGGCTCTCAGCACCCATCAGATGAATACAAACTGCCTACCAGTGGACTTCAAAGGGGATGACTGTTGGCACCCATCAGATGATCAGTGCTGACAGACAGTCTTCAAGCAGACTCAGCAAGCCCCTTTCAAGTTGTCACCTGGCATCAGATGATTGGCAGGTGGGCAGTCGCACCAACCTGTCAAAGTTGGCCCACGGCAGGTGGGGCAAAGGAAGGATCCAGCTAACCAGTCAAATCCAGTTCTTTGTTATTTACCATTTAGCTTCATTTCCCCCCATGGCCAAAGTATAGCCTTTCCACACATGAGTGCCCATGTTTGTGCCCTGTATCCTCAACTCATTTGGGTGCTGATTCCATTTGAATCTCCTGCATGCACACTGGGTTGATCCTGACTTTCTCCCACCAAATGGGATCTACTCACCGATAAGCAGTCCCCAGGTGGATGGGAGCACATTTAAAGGACACCTGAATGCTTTCAGAGAGTTAATTTGAGAGGGGAGAAACAAGCCCTGCTTCCTCTAATGTCCTTTTTCCTATTGACAGTATTTCCTTGTTGATTTTAGACAATTATGTCTTTACCGAATTAGTGCAATTATAGATAATTATGCAATTAGGGTGAATATGTGCAGTCATGTAATAACAATGTGACATTACAATATGTAGTAATGTCATGAAGCATTAGTGAGTAAATATACCACAATGGTGAAAGTATGGCATATAAAAGTAGCAACCAAAAGCTGCAATTAAGTTTATCTGTTTGGCATGCTTTACTTTTGTTTTCTCTCTTTCTTTCAATATACAAATCCAAATTCCCATAAATTATTGTTTCAAAAAGATATGGGACCAAAGAATCTAACATGCAATCCTGTACCCACATTACACTGGGGAGGGGGGGCTCAGATGGCAATTGGGCACCCTAACTCTAACCCTATACAGTCAAACCTCAGAACTCGAACAGCTCCGTTGCCGAATGTTTCAGTTCCTGAACACTGAAAACCCGGAAGTAAGTGTTCTGGTTTTCTAATGTTCCTCAGAACTCGAACGTCCGGTGAGACTTCCGCTTGAGTGCAAGAAGTTCTTGCAACCAATCAGAAGCCGCGCATCAGAAGTCAAACGTTTCGGAAGTCAAACGGTCTTCTGGGATGGAATACATTTGAGTTCCAAGGTTTGACTGTATCTCTCCAGCCTTGTGTTGAGCACAGAATTATACATGGGCAAATCCCAAATTTCAGGTTTTTAATTTTTTTTTTCGTTTTCCAAGTCTTAGGTTCACTTCTCCAAATTTCTTTTGTTGGGTTCTCATAAAATTTACGAGCATTTTCCTGGGGATCTTTCTTTCTTTCTTTCTTTCTTTCTTTCTTTCTTTCTTTCTTTCTTTCTTTCTTTCTTTCTTTCTTTCTTTTTACTAATATTGGATGAATATTCTCTGCTGCTGAATATCAGTTGCTAGAAACTACAGTAGGACAGGGTGCTTGGGTCTTGCTTGTGG